CCTTTGGAGTCACGCGATATAAACAAGCCTCGTCTCCATAATCGTTCCCAGAGGTCAACGCAAGCTCAGTTTGGAAAGAAGATCAATATGGCGGATGCTTATGAAGGTGTCAGTCGTGGTTCTTTAAAGCTAAAAGGAGTCGCGGACGGGGGTGTAAAAAAGTAAGAGACTGTTTTCTGGATCCTTTCAACTTTTAAGAAAAAATTGTAAACGAAAGATTATTCTTGTTTGACTTTTTAAGATTTTTTTCGTAACATCTTTCTAGCGTGTTTGAGGCCTCTTTATACTCTAGACAAACTCCCTTCTTGATAGCCCGGGCGCCACGTTTTCTGGTATGATAGATCTCCCATATCAAAATAAGATGGGTTATTTCAATTTTCTTGAGAAGAATTCATTAGACTACAGTGTGTTAGAATTATTTTGGACAAGTAGCGGAAATTGACACTCGAACAATTACACAGTTTTTCATTTTCATCAAAAATTTGTCTTTAAACTTTGGACTGAAAGTGTTGTGAGTCTTGATCTTAAGACTTTCTTTAAACTAAATAGGAAAAAGAAGAAAAACAAGGAGAAGAAAAAGCTCGAGGAAGCGGCTGCAGAGAGCATGGCTAAAGGAAGTAATCAGGAAAAACAGAATTCAGCTTCTGAAGATTCAAGAACCCCTGCGCAGAAAGCCTATGATAAAATCCAAGAAAAACGAGTAAATTTATTACTTAGCTTGTTTTCTTATTATCCCCTTGACTCTTGCATTTTTTAGCTTAAACTGCTGTAAAAACAACAGCAACAACAACAAGAACAATTTATTACAACCACAACAACAGAAAAAAGATTTCTGTGATTTAAAAATGTATATTCTATAAAAGCGATTTTTGTATGACCATGAATTGAATATGCATGAAAAAAACAAAACACAAGAATACAATGTAAATAGAGTGATTTGATTGGTTTAATGATCAAATACAATTTGTGCAGATGGCTTGGTTAGTTCTGTGAACTTTCTAGAAATCAAATGATACCTCGCTTAGTTCTCATTCTCTATTCAGCCCAATTAACAAACACTAAGTTTTAAGTAAACAGAAACCATTTTTAAAGGTCATACAAAAATTGCTCTTTGGTTTGTTGATTGGATTGTATTTTCTCAATGCATTGTGAAATTCTACCCAGTCTAGCGTGCAAGCTAAGAATTCCCTTTTGTCAAAAGGCTACCAGGTATAGCTTGTATGTAGACCTCTCCTTAGTCTGTGAATACAGCTGCCTCTTATTTTTTCGTGTCAATTCATAAGAGTGGCCATGAGATGTGGCCCTACTCACAGGCTAATTTTTCTTTCTTTGTCTTTGTTGTGTGAAGCAGAGAAGGTATTCTTCATATTTATAATGTTATATGTTTTCCCTTTTCATTTTCTACAGGCTGCAGAAAGGATTCTGAAAAAAGCAGAACAGACTCATAAGCAAAGAGTTGAGGTGAGCTTGGAAATTCCATTGTTAAAAGGAATAGTTACAAAATGATTATTACATTAAATTATTGCATTAATTCACATCTCTGAGATACATACAGCA